GTTTTAAATATGCTGATCCTATGTTCTGACATAGCATCACATGAAAAACTAAGGTGAAGTACATTGTATTTAGCATTTAAGGTAAATTACATCAGACAAATGATTATCTTAAGCAAAGTGTAGCAAAAGGTTCCTGTCTGTTCCTGTTCTCCTATTGTTAGTAAAATGAACCAGATTACTGAGATGATCACCTTTTGTTTGTAATGGCTCTTGCTGCCTCTGTCTCAGTCTTTGAGTAGTTATGCTGATTGGAATAGTACTGTCAGACTGATTGGATTAGCACCTATGCATTTGAATGACACTGTTATGCTGATGAGATCAGGGATGGAGAAATTCCGGTAACGGGCTGATTCCTGTATTGCATTTGCATGCTTTGTTTAGATTGTCTCCACCTCTATGTATCCCTCCCCCTTGAAAGGTATAAACTCTACTGTGCTGAGCTATAGTCAGACTTTTGATGACTGCAGCGCCACGCAGCGCGTTCTCAATAAAGAGTGACTTCTGTATGAAAATACCCAAGAGTCTCCTGGTTTCTGCTTCGACGAGGAAAAAGTTTCCTACAATCCTCACACACAAGCTAATTTGTCAGTCAGTGTTGGCCAAGTGCCCGTGAAACTCTTCCATTTGCTAAAGTTTGGTGTGAAAGCATATCAGCATGAGTAGAGCTTTGAAATGATGAGTCTACCTGAGTGGACAAACTGGAGACGTCAAGTACAGTTACTGTGTTAGCACAGCTAGCCCAGACCGAGCCCTCCAAGGCAAGAAGTGTCCTGATGGGATCTGAACCAACTGTTACTTTTCTACAGGTGTCTTGGTTCCACAGTTCCCCTACAAGACAGAAACACAAAAACACACAGTAAGTTCACCGTAAGAAGACTATCAAGATTCTTGGACTTCAACTATGGGCACCCTTAGGCTCTTAAAGCAAACTTTTTATCCTTTTTACCCAAGAATTGGGTATTTTTTTAGTAGGGCTGAAATGATTAGTCGACATTATCGAGAACATTGGCAATAAAAAAATTGTCTACAAATATTTTTGTTGTCAAATAGTCATTTGATCTCATATTACCTATTGTAAGGACCTGCAATAACGCGGTTTGACCCGTGTGGCGCTGTAGAGCAAGACTGTAATTCGGGTCTCCCGTATGCAATTCAAGAGAAGACGACACACACTGGGCTTATGATAGTCGGAGTGTGAATGCAGCTGAGCCAGATGGTACGGAGAGAGGCGTTTAGATGAATATGTAAATATGTGCTGCACGCTTTCCTCTCAATAACAAAATAAACACACAACAAAAATGACAGCAGTGAGAAAACAGCAGTTAAGTAAGCATCTGATCATAGCGATGTGGATATGTTTGAACAAACTCTGCAATTCGGCACTCCAGTCACGTTGTTTATTTATATAGGGCTTTATACAATAGATTGATTTAAAGTGAGCAGCTTTACAGTATTTAACAGGGGGAAAAAAACAGTGTCAGTGTCACATTCATTTAGAATAACAACTGGATTTTCTGCTATAAAGCAGCTTTCCAGTGTGAAGTATATATGTTTGTATTGTAAAAAATAATTGTATAATAATTGTAACTGTACAACAGTCATATAATTGTTTGACATTAACTTTGACACTACCAAGAGATTACCTTGTTTTATTTATTAGTTATGATATGACAATATTTTAACTAATTGTAAAAGCTGAATAATCGATCAAAGCCTAATGATTAATCCTCAAATTATAATTATAATCCCTGATTATCAAAATAATCTTTTGTTGCAGCCCTATTATTTAGTTATTTCTACCACAGTGTGATTTCCACAACATATCAAATTATGTATTATGTTTAACAGAAGTTTGTGCTGGAAATGACAGAAGGAAATAAGTGGTGGAGTTCAGCATTACACTTATATTTGCACTTTGCAACATTGATCATTATAACAATTATAACAATCACACACATTTCTGTTTTTCGCTCCCTTTCTGTATATAATTTATTCCCAGTTTGAATAACAGTTTAGTTTTTCATGCTACTAAAATAACCAATGTTAAGTCTTTTTTCTAATTCGTAAAAAGCAATAAACTAATTCACAAACTAATTAGGTTGTTTTGCCTGTGTAGCTAGAGATAGATTTTTTTTAAATGTATTCTATTAATTGATATTAATAATCATTAATGCAGCATCAAGTGCAATAATCAACAATAGTGATTTTTGTCAATATAATTTCAGCCCAACCCTGTTTTTCTTATTTTATAATTAATAAAAAAATATTGCTCCTTAAAGGAAAATTTCATTTCTGTCCTTGGAAGAAATGAACTGCTAATGCAAATTTTGTAACAAGGATTTTATGTTGCCTAAATATACACATGAAATTACAGCTTGATTGGACAAAAATGTTCATGTAATATTCAAATGTAATGTTTTTTCCATTACATTTCATAATCCATTTCAAGCTGACATTGCTGTGTCCTCGTAAAGAAGTATACTGAAAACTTTTTTAAAATTATTAATAATAATAATAATAATTCTCACACAATAAATATAAAAATGGTTTATGTTTGTTTTGATCATAATGAGCTTTATAAATGTAGAACCCAGAAAATACCCCAAACTATTTCATTTTATATACTCTTAAGTTTTATGACACAGAAAACAGAAAAGCAAGGAAAAGTACACGAGTAGCGAATACAATGAGGCCTGTGAAATACCTTGCTTGAAGGCAAATCTTTAATCCTATCTGGTGGAACACTTCAAATATGGCCAAAGATATTCAAAGCTAGTAAATTCATATGTTATTTCCCTTATTAAAGAATGCTTCAAATAGCAGAGCTACAAAAATGTGCTGCATGCTAATTCCCCTGCTTTGCCCTGAGCAAGTCACTTAAAAGTAAATTGGTTTCATTAATACTCAAGAGTAAATCCTAGTGTTTGCAAGACAAATATGTATAACTGGTGGTGGAACTGTATAATTTCTGTCTATGTCTTAAAAACATACAGCTAAACCAAGCACTGCAAAGCGTGTTTGTGGACTGCATATCTCCCTCAATAAAACTAGTGCTTTCTATGCGAATGCGCTAACAGTGCCATGTTAATAACTGCAGCGTGTTGTGTAATCCAATTTATACGTTTCTCTCCAGTATGCTCAGAACATGCCAGTCTTTTTCCTTGAGTTTTAATCACAGGGTTTGCACTGTAGCCACCATGGACACCATTATTGGATGCATTACATAAGCTTTTTTCTTCGTCTTTTTTGCCCCCATCACAGTGTGTTAATCAAGCAAAATTAGAGAGGGAACCGCAGCGAGCCATTTAATTAACATTTCGAGTTGTTTATTTCTGCCTTTGAAACCAGGATAGCTTTACAATGACTTCTGACTTCCTCAGGTTAATTGCATGGCATATTCAAAATGTCAGTCTTCCCACTTTTTTCGTGTATATGCTTTGAAAACATCCCCTCAGCCACTCGGTACACCCTCTTCCTCAAACTAAGGCAGCCTCAGATTTGCCTCTTTTGAAGCCGAGGACCTTCAGGGGCGGAGAGGGCTTATATGGACACTCAAAGCATCTGCAGATGCAGTCTTTACTTTATTGCTCCAAAAGTAATAAAGTGGATGGAGGAGAGACGCTGTTTCATTCAAATGGGCGCTTATTGCTTCTGGGTATAATATATTTACGTATTTTCTTCAGAAAGGTAGACACCTCATTATTATCCTTATAAATTCTGCATACTGTTGATTAAACACAACAAAATGATCTTGCCCTCTTAATGTACCTAGGAAAAAAAAGTGAAGAAAAACTCAAAATCTTCCCCCCCACCCCCAAAGCAATTTTGTCTTGCTCATACGTTTCAAAAAGCTTTCTGATTAATCTCATGTGAGACCCCAGTGTTTATTACTATATTAACTATATTAACTGCTCCACAGAATAATTTGTTGAATATATTTGTTTACCCAAATAAATAAATAAACACATTTTTAAAAATCCAGCCTGTACTTCCCAGGGAATATATCTGTTAGTAATTTCTTTCTTTCCACTATATGAATAGTAATATTCAATCGCCACACTGCACATCAGCATAATTAATCTTACTTTCCACTTCACTGGAGGTAATTCCTTGTTGACAGCCAGGTAAGTAATGCATTGTGATAAACCCATTGTGCCAGGGTTGTCTGCCTTGCACCACCCCTAACATACACGTGCACACACAGAGCGCAGTCCTTCGCTATCTATCATGTCTCAGATTGCAAGAGTTCTGCATGCCCACCCGTCTTCTGTTGTCATTCGCCCACACTTACGTACTGCAAATGAATAAGGCACAAGCACGAGCAGAGTAAAGACTTGTGAAATCATAAATTGCTTTCAAGGTAATCCTGAATCCATTGGCTTTCTATCTAACTAATACATACCTAGAACAATCTTATCACCCCCGTCTCTTCTCTGAATGCATTCAGAATACATGACAGAACTAATATCTTTCACATACTCACTGAGGCATTCAGCTAACAGAGGAGGGACCGAAAAAACATCCTTGAATGTTTGAATGGAAGGTTGATGAAAGAGCAAATTGAACACGGGGACAATCAGATTCATTTGTACTATTAATTTGATTTGATTACCCTTTTACTCTATTGAGTCCCTTTCATTTGGGGACATACTAATAATTACCCTTCTTAATTATCCCACCCATTTAGTGTTTAATCCCATTACTGAGAAAAACGAAAGAGAAAACATACTGAATATAACTGTCCATTTCTGTGCTAATGTGATAAAGAGAAAAGACAAGCCTAATAGGATAGAAATAACATAGACGTTTAAATCCTAAATGATTATCCACAATCCTAAACAAATGCAGGCAATGTATGGAGAATAAATAAGCTTTGTTTTGGATAATGCATAAAAGCAAAAGAGAAACAACTACATACAGCCTGACACAAAGTATGAGGCCTTGTTCACATAAAAGACAAAACAACTGAAAACAACTTTAAAAGTGATCCATTTTAATATTTTTGATTTGGCTACTTCCGCATTACATTTCTAACTTGAATGCATGACAGCTGGAAACTAACTTAGAAATAAGAGCTTCTCAGCTGTACTTGCAGGCAGCATGAGTGTACAATATAATGAAACATCAAGCGTTATGAAACTCGTACCTCCGGGATGTCTCTCGTACACCATCAGCGTTCCGTCCCGTAGGCCAGCGAACAGGAAGTTCCCAGAATGTTTGAGACACAGAACTGGACAGCCCTCTGAGTTACGGAGAGTCACAAGACATTGGGCGGCCGTGTCCATACTGCCATAGACCAGAATGCTTTGGGCGAAAAACATTGAAGGATATACAGTATAAGGACATCTTTGTGGGAAGAAGTATAAAGAACAACTAATGCCTTATTTCCGCTGTGCATTTGCCTTGATATTGTGAAATGATATTTTAAAAGGAAAAAATCTGCCCTCTGTAGCTAATCAGTCCCTTTCATTTGCATAAAGAATATCCCAGAATACCAGAATACCTATTGTTCTTCTCAGCCTTCATAAATTATTTAACTTACTTAGAAAATCACTGTGATTTTAAGCGAGAAATTTATTTAATTTCTGCCAAAATGACTGCACCTCAAAAACTTCTCCACAAAGCACCACGAAAAGTACCCAAAAGTTTTAAACAAGGTAGTAAACTTTTGCTGTTTTAGCACTACAAAGACTGCATCTGAAGTTGCATATATACCACAAAAAGGTGCATTTACACTAACTGCTGCACACAAATGGTATAAATGCAATTGCACATATACAAAGTTAAGTCTTTAATCCTTTTCAATAATGAAATTGTTTAGATTATACATTTTTTTAAAGTATGATGTATAATTTTTCAAATTTACAAATATTTTGTTTCTTTGGAATCACTAAAACTCATCCAAAACTCTTTTTAGCCTACTGAAGATAGTCGTCACCTGTTTCTTATCACCGCAATGTCTGTAATGGCACCTTAAATCTGATTAAAAGGCTTTTACCTTTCCCGATTTCCCTACTGCTAGACATGTGGTCAAAACAAACAGCCATTAGGCTATTAGACTTGGCTACCGCTTGGTTCTCACAGCCAAGTGAGCTGACATGAAAATAAAGGAAGCATTGATGAGGCACTTCATTTACATAGAACCAAAGCAGCATTAATATCTTTGATAACAGTGTCTAGTTTCCTTAGAGCAACCTTAACTTGGCTGTGTATAGATGCCTTTATATATTTAACAGGTACTTTAATATTTTTAATTGAAGAACACAATACATCTTTTTATATTTATATTTTCATATTATATTTTACCAGCCATCATCAAGTCCCACACAGATAGTATTTCCAACTCCCGTGGAGTTATAAGGGCCGGTTTCAGCATCCTCTGAAGGGGTGGGCTCAGGCACATACTCCAAACACCTTACTCGAGCTCCCATCTGGAGGGATTTTACAGGCCGAGGTGTGGGTCTGTTCAAGGAGAAGATGTCCACCTGGCCTTGAGTGGAATCGCCTCCACCGGCTACCTGCAAAAACAGAGCAAGGACACCGCTATTACAGGTAGTCATCCAACCAAAACTGCTCTCACATCCATGACTGTACAGGTAGAGACAGAAAATAATAGAGGAAGGGAAGAGCTTTCTGTTTTTCTGCCACTTTAAACCACTCCCTCGCCATTGTGCTTTCACTTCCAGTGCCGAGAACCACATGGAGGAAATTTCAAACGGCAGAAAACTCTTTCACTTCCTGTGTACTTTAATGATTCCCAGCCCTGTTATTTTATTCCTGTCAATTTCAATATCAGGGTAACAGCAAAGTTAAAATCATATTATCTCATACAAATCTAACCTATAGTCGTTGGCTTGATAAAGTCTCTAAAATTCATACTCTATCACCCCTAATACATTCCCAGCATCAGCTCTATAACTTCAAACATCTTTTTTGAAACGCCAGGGATCTTTTCATCGCTGAACCAGAGGAAAAGGTGGAGTGGAGAGATGTCTTTTGAAAGCCGCTGAGCTGTTTGACAATGGAGGGTTTCCTTTGGGCTGATGATTGATCGCCTTCTTAAGACAGAGACTGCGATGACAAACTCGATCCTTGGTGAAATTACATATAGTTGACAGAATAAGACTTCAGCACAGTGCTGCTCATAAATCCATCCTCTGGTTCCTTGCCTCAACAACTGATCTAAGTTCCGCACCCATTCATTTTTCTACTGAGTTGCTTTAAAATGCAGACTCTTGTAACACATTTGGATTGCATTGCATCATAAATTAATAATCCCCCAGTTTGTGAAAAATAGTGTTTGTCTTCGTGCCCTGCACAGCCGCTCTCATGGTTACTCTTTCATGCATAATGCAATGGAAGCAACCCGCTCGCTATTAGAAATTAAACGAACTGATCAGCATCCCATCATTGCCTCATCTCTTCTTGTGCAGCACTAAACTGCTCCAATTACAAAATACATACAAAAAAAGCCTTTGAGAGGTGGTTTAACCGAGGGAGATAAAGGGGAAGAGTATTACAAAGTCTGCTGGCCTCAATATAAACGGCACTTGTTTAGGGGCCATCATGTATGATTACCTCAAGATTCTGAGCGACTGGGTTTGGTTGAGTGGAGTGTAATCTCAACCAAAGAACGGGAAAACAACGGCAGAGTGGGAGGGATGCTGCCAGACAACAGAGATTAATTCTCATTCTGAATCATGTTATTCAAGCAAAATGTCCAGGCTAAATATAGTCTTTAGCCTTACAGTTCCCCTCTACTTTGCAAGCAATCGTTTGTCTGATTTGTATCGCAGCATAGAACCTGGATGGCCAAGGTCTCATGGGCTGGGAAGAGCGAGTCAGAGCAAATAACGGCCTGTTGCGGTAGCGCAGTGGGAAATAGGGAGGGCTTATCTTTGTGCAAGAAGCTCAGAAAATAACTGGGTAACACTTTACTTGAAGGGGTGTGCATAAGACTGACATGACACCTTCATAATCATGACATGACACATGTCATGAATATGAAGGAGGTTTTATGCATGTTTATGACAACTGTCATTAAGTGTCATTCGCTCAGTTATGTAATTTTTAATGCAAATATGACATTATTTGACCTAACCCTACCCCTACCCTTACCCCTAACCATAGCCCATAACAAAGACATTTCAAACAATGTCATCTTTGCATTAAAAATTACATAACTGAGCGAATGACACTTAATGACAGTTGTCATAAACATGCATAAAAAACCTTCATATTCATGACATGTGTCATGTCATGATTATGTAGGTGTCATGTCATGATTATGAATGTGTCATGTCAGTCTTATGCACACCCCTTCAAGTAAAGTGTAACCAATAACGGTTAAAAAATAACATTTTTGCTACTCAGCCGCAACCTCCAGCTGGCCCTTGTTCTCCCATTTTTTTCACACAGGCGCAAATCCATGTGTGTGAACTCGACGATGATCTACCCCCTCCTCTTTCGATCCAATTCCTCCACAGACTAGGTGGAATTACAGTTCCCTGACGAACTCATCAGTACTTGTTTGGAGGAGTGGATATCTGGAATCGTGCCCTGGACGCATCTCTGTTTTTTTTGGCCAGAAAGCCGTGAAAACCAACCTTAGAGCCAAAGCTCTGGACAACCAAGCATTAATTAGGCTAAAACTGACTAAGAGCCTAAAGGGAGCAAAGGTAGTCTAGGGAGAAAGACTTCATCTGTTTATGTGTACACTAGCCACATTCAAACATTTGTCTCTGACATCCTTTATGAAAAGTTTTAGATTTGTTTGGATTTGTAGCTGACAAATAGAGAACAGCAAATAGGAAAAAAATTATGCTCTATCTAGATCTATATATCTATCTATCATCTATCATCTATCTATCTATCGATCTATCGAAAAGTAGTGTAATTTCTTTTTGTAATTCCTCTGTCCTTAGCAGCACCTCAGTCTCTACCCCTCTAAACATTTTACAGGAAAACCTGCCCCAAAACCACTGCATTGGCAAGCAATGAAAAAAAGCAACTACTTATTGTTATCATTACTAACCAACTAAGTAAATAAAATCCCAGGAAGTAGACTGTGAACACAGGTTTAAAAAAAAAAAAATGAGCCTCAGCCTTAGAGGTGAAGAGGCTAAGATGAGCGAATTTGGCGGATGACTGGCTGGCTTGGACTGATTAGAAACAATGTCATTATTTTGATCTAAGCCACGAGAAAAAACCCAGCAGCCCATCTTGGAGGGATCTGATTACTGTCACTGCTCATTTGGAACGCTAGCAGTGAAAACAGGCTGTTGTGATAAGATGATGTGCTATCACTGACTTATAAGTTGGGAAGTAGCAAACAACTGAATCATTTCCCCTCTTCTCACATCTCTCAGTCCAGCTGAGTTCACCGAGAAAATGACACCTGCTATAAGTGGAAGATGTGTTGATTTCTTTAGGGGGTTTTTTAACCCTGCTATAGTTTGTAAAACCAGACCTTTGGCTAGCAGGATAAAGTTTGGTCCACATCGCAGCTTATTATGGTCAAGATATTGCAACTTAAACAATCTAAAACTGTCTTCGACTTGGGTTCACAATAATAGACCTGTGTGGAGAAAAAAGACCGTACAGAAAATAAGTAATAAATAAGTAATAACATAATAAATAATGATTTATTTCTTTTGGAAATACTAGCTTACTTGCTACTAAGTGCCTTAATCTTATAGGATGTAGCAGACCAAGCCTACATTGCCTACCAAGCCTACACAGCTCCGAAGCACAGAAAATAAGTTTACAAATGCTGCATAATAGCACATTTTAACACATTTAATGAGAAACACTGGCAGCCCCACTGAGACTAAATGGACGCACTGAGATATATTAAAAAAGTGACCCCTACGATTTAAGCTGCAGAGTGAGATTTAGATTTAGAATCAGATGCCGGTGAAATTATATTTTGGATATGCAGAACTGAGGATTTTTGGCACCAGAAAGAGGTTCTAATCCAGTCAGATATAATTTCCCACTGAATGTCTCCTTGTATCTTTTAAATCCACCCAAGTCCAACCTCAATGCTCTTTAGAATACCCACAAAAACAATTAACTCAAAGACACAGGCAAGGGTGTCCTTTTGTGCCCAACCAAGCCTCGAATTGGATTTATCCCCCTGCTTTAGGGGATTATGTGATAAATTGCCCACTGCTACAGAAGAGGGAGGAGAACGAGACTACTGTGTGAAACGTTTAAAGGTGATTTCACAGGGCTTGATATGAAAATCCGTTTTATTTTGCAGAGAAAAGCTCTTTGCAGAATATAGGACACAACCACTGTCACTTAAGTTAATGCTTGTTGGTTTTAAACAACGTCCAGAATTAAGACCTGTTTTGCATAAATGTGATTTAATGGTGAGGAATAATAAATACTAGGGATGCACCGATATCAATACTGGTATCGGTATCGGGCCCGATACTGAGCTCCTGTACTCATACTCGTACTCGTTAAAATGCCCCGATACCAAACGCCGATCCCACACAGCATGTGATAAGCGCCATATTCAGACAAAGAAACACCGACAACAGAACAACAGACAGCAGAATGGAGTTAAGGATGTCTACTACGAAGTATATGTATGCAATGAATAAACGTTAAACATTCAGTATTAACGCCTTTATAGCTGATGTGCGCGAGCTGATAAACAAAGCACGCTGAGTGGATTGAGCGCGCGGCAGCGCAGATGCGCGAGCTTGTCGAGTGAATATATCTTTCTCACAGACATCACTGGAAAGTTTGTAGTTCGGTCGGATATGTCAAAACAAGTAAGTAAAACAATGCACAAGTTACTTAACGTTAGGGAGAGAGACAGAGAGACAGAGAGAGAGAGAGAGCGCGTGCACTTCTGTTGTGTGATCTTTGATGTTCACTTACTTAGCACGCGCATCATTTGGATTAAAACTAAATCGCAAAAATAAGACCATTTATAGGGGCATTCACTATAAACATCATTTATTTTCAACCTTAGGCATACACGACTTTCTGGCGAAAGTGAATCTAGCAGCCTGTGTGAAATGCGCTAGGCTGTACTATTCTGCATCAGTACAAATACGTGTATGCGTTGCACGTGTTTTGCTTGCTTGAGTGTTTCTGCATTATATGAGTGGCTTTGGAATATAAATCGCAGCACGTTTCAGATGAAAAAACGCGACTTCTATTTCTGAAAATATCACAGTTAGGAGATTTATAGCGAGTGGTTCCATGCATTTTTACAGCAATTCGCGGGATTGCAGTACTAAGCCGCTGCAATGGAGCAGATCTAATGCTATTACATTACAGATGATGTACCATAGAGCAAAAAAATGAACCTGTGAAAGTAACAAAAACTTGTAAAATACATTTTAATGGGCATAATTAAGTGTGAAAATATACAGTCAAACCAAAAATTATTCAAAGACCAGATATAATATTTTATATTTCTTTTACCAGTGGGTGCAGGACACTATAGTTCATTTATGTAAGTGAGCATAGGAAAATAAAGTAAACTGTGACAAATTATACCCAAAAATTCTTCAGTAAATTCTCAGTAAAACTGATACAAATTTGGGACCAAAAATTATTCAGACTGAGTCTGGGAAAAAACATTGAAGTTGAGGTTTGCATGAAGCTGGGTGACAGCATGCCCAGGAGACTATATGCTGTCATTAAGGCTACGGGTCACCCGACAAAGTATTGATAGTTGTGTAAATACTGTCATACTAACAGTTGTCTGAATTATTTTGGTTGATTGTAATCTATTACATACCTTTCTATCAAAGTTATCTAACATTATCAAGCTGAATTTGTTCTGACTCAGTTTAACTCTGAGTTCTTGTCATATTTTATTACCATTTTCTAAACTATAGCGAATAAACTGTGATAATGTGAGAAATGTTGAAGGTGTCTGAATAAATTTTGGTTTGACTGTATCTATTTGATAAATGAAGTTAACCAACTAACATTATACATACTCTTTTGGTTTCTGTACCCAATATTTAAAAAATTTACAAATGCAATAAAAATATTGGTATCGGTACTCGGTATCGGCAAGTACCAAAAATAAAAGTATCGTACCGGGCGAGTACTGGAAAAAGTGGTATCGGTGTATCCCTAATAAATACAGTCTCTTCGATCTCTGACGTTACTATTGTGTATGATAATATGTATATATATATGTGCTTCTGCTTCTACTTACCCATAGGTAGCCTTGAGGAAGCGAAGTGCTCACCGCTGAGAAACCAAGTAAAGCACATTGAACAGGATTATGAAGAGCAGCCTCCAGCTATGAAAAAATTAAATAAAATAACATTTAAATCTCACCTAATGAATAGACCTGAGAATTAAACATGTTAATTTAATGCAATTATTAATATAAAAAATAAACAGAGTCAGCATTTGTAAGACAATTTAGCAGTTTACATTTTTTATCATTCAAGTTTTGCTATAGCTCAAACATGATTCAAATAACACCAAGGTTATAGGATTCGACTCCTAGGGAATTCATAAACTGAAAAGTTATTTAGCTTGAATGCAGTGTAAGTCACGTTGGATGTGTAAATTTAAAGACATAAATGAAAACTTTGAAGAAATAAAATGTAATACTTACTTAAGGGAGGTTTAGATATTTTTACAGCAAAACAAGACAAAAATACTGACTAAGAAAATGATTTTCTGATTACAATGAAGCAATGTGGCTCACTTCAAGTGGTGGGTGGCATATTTACGGTGACCATAATGTTGCGTGATATCACGCCATGTTAACAGACCACAAACAGCCGCTGTTTGGAAATGTTTATATTTAATGTGAGAATGAAGGCTGGGAGAGATGGCAGAAAGCATATCTAATTTAATTAGGACTGAATATCTTTCATGTTGCCCCCAGTGGAAACTGGCCATCAATCGCTAACTATTTCCAGCAGTCATTTCCCATTTTCCCCACTTTTTCAAAGTGCAAACATAAACAGGTCCAAACTAATACTGGAGAAATTACTAATTCAATCAGGCATGAGCTCTGCCTCTCCATTCTCCGAACCCTTCTTTTTCCATGAGCATGCAGAGTTTCCTTTCCTCTTGCATATCTACAACTTATTCCATTTTTATATCATTCATCCATCTGCAGTGACAAAAAATGTCTAATTTGTAATTAAATGCCAGTCATGGCAGTAGCACATATGGCAGCCTGCGGGCAGCAGAGCTCGGCTGGTGGAGAGAAGGGACAGACTGTGGCTTTCTGAGTCACATGACAACACTGTTGCTCAGTGAGAAGCACAGGTAATCTTCACAGGTGGAGATTGCTTTGTCTTTGTCCATTCTCCGATGAATAGCAAGTGCATTTGCCTGAATATCTGCTTCCGCCGCAGTCCCTCGGGGTCTAAGACACATGCTACATGATTCCCCAGCAACACATTTATTCTGGGTTCTCAAACGGCACCTCACAGACTCCTGTCTGACTGCAGAGGTAATATACTACTGCTGAAAACTGACTCAATCTAGCCCATCCTGAATGCTTCTTTTAAAGGGGTCATATGATGCGATTTCAATTTTTCCTTTCTGTTTGGAGTGTTACAAGCTCTTGGTGCATAAAGAAGATCTGTAAAAAAAGGCGGGGCATAGAGGAGAAACAATAATGTACAGTATGTGGAAAATAATGTGTTTTTTGAACTTTAAACCGCATAAACACATTTCATTACACCAAATACACAAAATAATGTTCTATTTAGCAGCATCATATGACCCCTTTAATGTATGGAATTTCAGACGTGCTTTGTGACCTGTAGCACCTCATAATAACCTGTCAGAGTGAAGGGTTACTTTGATACCTATGCTTATTATACAAGTATGGGTGAAATCAAATTAATAAGATGCTTAGAGTGTATTTAACTACTGATCTTTACTTTAAAACACTCTAAAACATAAAATTACTAGTATATCGTCAACATCAACCTCAGTTTGCACAACCCATTAAAGAGACCAAAAACAAGAGAGAAATACATTTCATGTTTGTATTACTTCGCATCATGCTAAAAAGAAGTATGTAAAGTAATACAAGTAATAAAGTCTGATTCTTATAGCAATTTTTAAAGAACAAATTGTTAAATAAATAAATTCCAATCAGTTAATTATATAATTTACATAAACACATACATAATTATATAAATAATTATATGTGTGAATAATTATTATAATATTTACATACAGATACACAGACCAATTTCCATGCTTTCTGATTCTGATTCTGAAACATACACACACACTATACAGTATATATATTTTTTCTTTCTTTTTTTTTTTCCCCCACTGCAAAAATAAAAAGTGCAGAAAATTAGCATTGATTGTCATGGCAATGGCAAAGTTTAAGGTTGCTCGAATGTGTGTACAGCATATTTTATAAAGGTTTTACCTCTGCATATGTGAAGGAATACAGACATTCCACAACGCTTTGGTTTCAATATATATATATTTTTAAAATTTTTTTAAAGAAGTTACAGGAATAGTTCACCGAAGTTTTAAAAAAAAATCAGTCATAATTTACTTCTAATGTTCCAAAACTGTAGGATTACACCAAAATAGTTTGGTTACCAATGATCTTCAAAGTATCTTCATTTATTTTCCAAGTGAAACAACATGAGGGTGAATGTATGATGACAGAATTTTCATTTTTGGGTGAACTATCCCTTTAGGAGTTCAGGAATGAAACTCATCTCAGAATGACTAAATAACCTGAAAGGCCATTTAATTAGCATCATGGTGCCTTATTCCACTAAGCCTCTCGCTCAGATGCAGTTGCAATGCAGGAGATCCCAATGGGAGAAGGAGTGATCGCGGACAGATTTGACGGAAGACTTGTGTTTGGTTGCTCGTCTGGGGAAAGGGAACTAGGTGAGCTAATTAAAGAGAGATTTGTTGATGAAGAAAGAGGGTGACCACACAGCTGCTGGCCCCAATGACCCACTGCTCTACATGGTATCCACCCCACCCTTCTGGGTGACGGGCTTTATGCCAGCTCCAGGTGGTGAGTATCCTTTCCATAGGCCATGAACTCATCTGGAGGAAACCCATAATAGCTTCCCTTGCAAAGTCTATCCTGCCTGCAATATGTCTGCATTTAATCATGTAATCAAATGCACAGCGACAGTCTGTCACAACATCTAGACAAACATGAGAATATTTTTAAAATGCAGACATATGATGTAAACAAGAGAGATGTTGACTAAGTTTTCAATGTTTTCAACCAAAAATATAGACTAAAGACTTGTTCATTCGCCTTGATATGTGGAATATTAAAAGAAACCACATCATCCACCCAATCCACTCAATTATTATGAGTCATCAGGCTTGAGGAGGTTTGGGGACAGAATCCTTAGAGCAAAACAAATGGCACTTTGAGGTGCTTAAATGCTTTGAGGTGATTTTCTGTCACAGTAATCAAATCTCTATTCAACCTGTGCTTTGTTCAATGCATTTTAGATGTGATGAATGCTACACAAAAGAACATGTTTCCTCCCTTCCAGACTTAATAAGTATGCAAGTTTTGGTCTCCCTTTATGACTCACATCTCAAATAGAAAAGAAAAAAAAACTGTATAGATGGTTAAATTAAATATTGTTTCTTCTAAGTATGATGCCTGAACACATTATAAAACATTTAGCTTTGAAATCGCAAAATATATTCTGCACTGTGATCACAACTATAAAAATCTTAATTCACAATTAAAAATTAAGTTTTGAAAAGAAGCCTATCGAGGCATCATTTATTTGATCAAAAATACATTAAAAACAGTAATATTGTATATTAATAATAATTAATAAATAATAAATATTACTACAAATGAAAACGACTAGTTTCTATTTAACAATTTTCTGTAAGTAGTTGTGCTGCTTAATAGTTTTATGGAAACCATGACACATATTTTCAGGATTCTTTGATGAACAGAAATGCCAAAAGAAAAGCATTTTAAAATTTGAATTTCAAAATTTGAAAAGTATTAATTTCTATCAAAAAAATCCTACTAACCCTGATGTGTAAATAAATGTATAATGCCATTTTAATCAAATTATTAAATATAGCTTCAACCAAGCACAATAACTACTTAACCAACAAGATATTTATAATCTAAAACAACTTTTTTTTTCACAGACATTTGTTAACAATTCATATTAATAAATTAATTGTATGTAATTAGGTTGCATGCACTGCACTGTATGTAACTAAGCTGCATGCTTTGCACCTCTGACTTCAAAGCTCATCATGTTTTTGCTAATCCAGTACATAGTACATCTGTGACTCCACCACACATATTGCAACACTTGGCTGAGCTGGAACACTACAACACTATTAAATAAACTGTGGTTAGCATTTAATACACATAGCTTGCTTAACATGAAGCGTAACAAACCAAATAAAAAGTCTAGTCTGAGTCACTACAGCAAAGTGGCACTCCACTCCGATGAAAGAAACCTCCAGACAACAGCATCACAGGTGGCTCCCACACTAATAGAACTCTTCTGTCGGTTATTAACTGATAATTGCCAGGCTTCAGAGCCCTCTTTACTGCTTCTTCTTCACTTTTAGCCTCAAGGTAGAGGAAGTGAGGCAGGGAGAGCCAAGATAGCACAATAACAAAGCGCCAATGCAAACCTGATCACAGCTTGAGAAGCAAACTGCATTTGTATTTGTTCGACACAGGCTAAATCAGTGCTAGTCCAGGGCCCTTGCTGTATCATAGCGTTTTCGCTAATCCTCGTGATGTGGAGGAGAGTTGCAGATACCGGGAACCCAGAGAAAAGCTGCATAATGCAAGGCTGACATGACTACTTTTAGCATTCTGCTACATCGCAGGATTAGGAAGAGGGAAATGGGAGTGGATTAGCCTATAGGAATTCAATACACGTGGGGAAAAGGACCGATGACGGTGGTAGGACTGAAGCACTAGAGAGCTTGTGGCAGTTTAGCCCTCAATGTGACTAAATTAGTATAAATCTCCCAAGTCCCTCCATCTGAAACAATTGTGCCATCTCAAAGGCAATGACATGCCCCTGTTTGCTAGTTGTTTTCCAATATTCCTTGGTGACTCTAACTAGGGCTGGGCAAAAAAATCGATTTAAATGACGTCGATTCGATATCGATTCTCAAAAGCCACGAACCATACAAAAAAAAAGTATAGGTTTAAAATACAGGCATGTGGCTTAATTTATTTTTTATTAATTCACCATTTGTAAACTGATGTTTACTGTTCATTTTTTAGAAATATCAATAGCATTTGTATTAAAACTATATTCACTG